ATCAAAAAGAATGGGGACTTAGGTGAAACTTTCCCCATAATTAAGGCATAGGTGCAAGTTAGAATAAATAAGTAAAATGTAATCAATCAATTCATAACAAGTGAAATAAATCATAGGTCAAAGTGCATCAAACTAGATAATGGATTGGAGAAGGAGTTGTGCATAAGTGAAAACAAGAAGAGACTTCAATCGTCCGTTGGTGGAGGAAGGCCTTGAGGATAGATTGAGTACATGTAAGAAAAGAAGGCCTCCTGTGATAAGCTCAGTTGCTCTATCCTATGCTCAAGAGCATCCATTCGGCTTGTGACGATAGTAGCAAGAGAATCAATTCGTCCTTGGAGGATGTTGAATTGATCTTTAGACATTTGTTGGTCGGGAGTAGGTGCAACTTGTGGAGGAGTAGGCCTATGTCTTGCTCAAACGGCGCTTCATTGTCATCACCACCATCTTCACCGTCATTACCACCCATTGCTTCTTCTGCCTCTTCTTTGATAAATGGCCAAGTAGTAGGGCCCGAAGCATTGTCGAATCCTTGAGTGTGACTTACCCATTGCCTGTCACTTTTAACAATTTTCATGCATTTAAGGGTGTTAATGTTAATGACATCGGTGTGTTTTGGTTTAAGAATGAGCTCATCGTCTAATGACACGTTGAAGTGTTGAAAGAATTTAGTGAGTAGCATGCCATAAGGTAAACCTAGATATAAGGAGACGAGTAAACGTACGTAATGTGTTTCAAGAAAATGTATAAGAAGTCCAATTGACGACCAACAAAAAGTGATCAATAACAAATAAATCAAGATGATGAACTTCTTCAAGGTGACCACTCCTAGGGACGATAATAGGTGCAATTACACAATGAAGAACTTTGCAGGGGATAGTGAGATGGTTTAGATTCAAAGTTATTTTAGTAGTCAATGGTCGGTCGGTGACANCAAGAATATGTATGAGAAGTCCAATGACGACCAACAAGAAATGAATCTAGAATAAATAATTCAAGATGATGAACTTCTTCAAAGTGACAATTCATAGGGACAATAGTATGTGCAATTGCACGATGAAGGAATTTTCATGGGATGGTAAGATGATTTAGATTTAAGGTCATTTTGGTGGTTAATGGTCGTTTGGTGACACGACAACATGCTTCAAGTTCGTTGTAGCCTTCAAACCTAACGGGGTAATTTTGGACATAGGCATGGTTATCACATTCTTCTGACCCAAGTATTTCCTGAATAGCAGCCTTATCGAGTGTAATACGTTTTTCTTTGATAGTGCACATGACATGTTGTGAATAAAACGTGAGATTCCGATAAAATTCACGAATCAATCTAGGGTAGGCATTTTCCGAGATTGATACAACATTCTTCCACCCAATACCCTCAAAGTACTCTTCTATCCTAACTTAGGGATCTTGAAGGTAAAATTCGAAGACATCGATGGACTTACCAATTAGGATGGGGCAATCGGTGAAACAGTCGGGCATGGGCGTGTCTATTTCGACATTCGACGAGCTTGCTTCTCCCTTCTTTGATTTCTTCTTCAGAGGCATGATTGGTTCGGATTTTTCGACTAAGAGTGAGAGAGATTTTTAGTTTTTCAAAATTATGGTGAGAAATTGAGTGAAAAATTATAGATGTATGGGTAACAAATCTTTGAAGAGGGTTAATGCTTTAACAAGATTTGCAATGAGTTTTTGAAGGAGAATCAAGTTTTTCGAGTATTGAAGCTAAAAACCCAAATGTTGGAAATTTCTTGATAAAAACAGTGTAAAAACTTAAGATTTGATTGGAAAGTTTGATGAATGTGGCAGTTTTGTTGAAATGTTTGAGTAATTTTAATGAAAGGAGTGAAATGCGAGTGATTTAAAGAGATGAAAAATCGCAAGTTAGGGTTTTAAAATGATGTTTTGTAGATGAAATTTGATTTTTGAAGAAGCTGATTAGCGAAGTTTTCGATCGATCGATCGAAAGTCTGCAGAAAATTTAAAGCCATCTGCAATCATTTTTCGTTGATTATTGGTAAGCCGAAATTTATGTTTCGGTCGAATCATATGGTCGATCGAACTTCAGTTTCGGTCGATCATTTCGTCGACCGAAGTTCTGCAGAAATTTTTTTGAGATGCTGCAGTACATTTCAGCTGACTTAATAATCAAGAATTTTACAAGTAATTCTGTTTCAGTCATACATATTAAACAAATTTAACCACAAATTTCATATTCATCGATAATACCTAAGCCTCTACGAATATAAGAAAATTTATCGAGAGCTAGAGGTTTGGTAAAAATGTCGGCCAATTGTTTATAAGTACTAACAAATTCCAAATAAATATCACATTTTTGCATATGATCTCTAAGAAAATGAT